GCTAATCGACACAAGCAAAACATGCAGTGGGTTGGAACAGGCTCCCGGTTGCGATCATGCTGTTGATGCACGAAAGCAGCGACCTGTCGGTATCTTTGGCTGTGTCAAAGCTCGTCAACATGACGTTCACGACTAATGCCATCGGATGTTAACGACTCGTCGTCTTGACATGGCCATGGTTAGCCACTTGGATCAGAAAGCGGCCATGATCGGCCAAGCTGTTCTCCCTCCACGCAGGGTGGCACGACCAGAGCTAATAGCAAGCCTACCCTACGAAATACGTATATAATGAAGCATCAATCCATCGTTAAAGCATCGAATTCTTTTGCATGGGCGCAGGTGGAGGCCTGGGCCAGCAAGTTCGGATACCCTGGGCTCTAGGGCATCGGCCCTTTGGAGTGAGCCTAGTGCTGCACAGTCTGTGACTCCGTGACGTCCCTCATCGGCCTCGGCCATGGGACATGACACTAAATTTTCACCAGGCCACCTGAATTTTGTGTTTTTGGGTGCTGCGTAGCACCGAGCAGTCCCTAGCGGCCCAAGCTAGGCAGTAGACAGAGTGCATGGAACGTTCAATTCTTGAATATCGCGGTGATCGAAGACGCGGCGAGCTTGCCGTTTTTACATCCCGCTGCCGTCAAACATGGGCTTCTAGACATCGAAGCCTCAGAAGTTCGGAAGTTCGAAGCTTCTGAGGTGGGTTGAAGTGGCGATGTAGTGATCGACGTACTGACCCCGCCAAACCCCATGCTTCAGACCGTTGGCAGCGTGTGTGGAGTCCGGCGCAAGTCTTCCTGGGGCTCCCGGATCCTGCCAAGTTGGTCTCAATGCCAATCCTGACCGGCGCAAGAGCCAAAACAGTCAGAGCTTCCAGATTCCAGGCTCAACTCTGTCCTTGGGACGCCCTTTGTAAGCACTCCTCTGTTCTCCATGAGCTTGTCCCCAAGCCTTCGCAGGATGGACAAGACTACGTCCACCGGATTGGCCGCACCGGCCGTGCTGGGCGCAAGGGCACTGCCATCACCTTGCTGCGAAAAGGCCCTTTGTTGAGCTCTTTGCGTTTGTCCCTAATTACATACCGGTTTCGGGCCTAAGCCTCCCTGTTGGGATGTAGAGTGCTGTCTGGGCGGCAGACCCTGGCAGACCAAGTGGCGTCCATCCTTCCGAAGATCCGCCCTTCGCAAGAGCATCGCACTGGTTCAGACTAATTAAGAAGCGTGACCCCCATTGAATGAAAGCGCTTTCGACCTGGCAGGCCCCGATGGGCAGGGGGCTCAAGAAGTTGAAGAGGGCCTGTGGCAGACACGGTGTCATCACATGCCAGCCCTCCCTCTAACTCTAACTCCAGCTTGGGCTGGAAGCAGGTTCTTGTTCAGATTCTGCGGAAAGCAGCGTGTGATTGTTTTCGCGACTGTCGAGCACTTACCCCAAGGCATGCCATGATCTTCATCACACAGGCGCCAGCAGTCAGCTGAGGGTTGTGGCCACAGCATGACTCATGAAGTTTCCGCACCGAGCACTGGGTCCGGATTGGAGGCTTCGCCTGTTTTCTGACACTTCGTTGAGAAGCATCAGCTCTCCATCCGCACACGTTCGCTGCATTAGCGCTTCCAGTTCGTGCTCGAAGTATCAAGCCCGGCCGTTGTCGCCACGTAAATCCGTGGCAGGTCATGCGGCGGACGGGGCTGGATGTTCCGCAGGCCTGCTAGCTCTATGTACAGCATTGTTTACACCTTCATGCCCAGAATACAGTGGAATGTCCAAACCCTGCGGACATTTGACATAAGCCAGTCAGATCAACACCGGCAACAAGTAGTGCTGTTGATTGATGCGTGATGTTCGCCTCCGGCCTCGCACAAACCCTCTCACTCTCAGTCGTGGAAGCGAAGCTGCGCTGTTGCGAGTGTTCGAAAGAGTTTGGTTTGGTTGGCGGCCAACCGTGGAAAGGATGGAAAGATTTTTGGAAGCCCTCCAGGCATCGCAACAGTTAATACAGAGTTTCGGTCAGGTACTCCGGAAGCTTTGATTCAAGGCTAAAGCTGCAGTTTAATCTCTCTACGAGTCTGTTACTATGGCTTAATTATTTTTTTCGCAGGCTGGCCAGTGACATTTGAGTCGCCCTAGTCTCGACCCTGGATACCAACCAACGTAAACTGTGGGTGCTTTTCGTCGTTGAACTCCTCTCGGGACTGCGCAGTCAGCTGCAGCGCCTGTCCGTTGAGCGGCAGGACCTTATCGAAGCCCTGAAGCAGCGGCGGGGTCGTGACATGAGCCACTGCCTTTGAAGACTTGCCCTGACTGGTTGACTTCAGCAAACTGCCGTGTCGCAGCACCCCACAGCAGAGCGATGAAGTATCGGCCGGCCATGCACTTGAGAATGTCAAGCGTTTGAAGCGTGCAACGCCTTAGACGGCAGTGGTGTCTTAGAGTCTTGTACAGTGCCGACTCAGCTCTGATGGGCGGAAGGCTGATCCAGCAACCCCCTGATCGGCCCTGCGGTCGCACCCAGGCTTGGCCGCGGAGGTCCTCATGGGCATCACGAACCAACAGAAACTCGAGCGAAGCCGGACCCTAAACTGAGTCTTTCCGTCAGTAAGACACAGAGTCACTACTCAGATACCTGTTCAGAGCTCAGTGTCTTGGCATCGGCACGTCGTTCGGCACATGGCATCCTGCATGTCGGGGTTGTCTTGCAAATTCGGGCTCTTATGTCCGGCAGGTTGGGCGAAAGCCATCTGACTGCTTGAACTTGTTGGTTGTGGCCGTGACGAGGCAGGTCAGCAGCACACGACCCTACATGACATATCCCTACATCAACCCGCCACGCCACGTAGCCTTCCAACCCCCTCTTCAGGTTCACGAGCCCATTCTGCAATGGTAGTGTGGTTTGGGTGCAGCTTTGGCTTTTTTGACTATGAAGTGCCCTGGGTGACAGAAAGGCAAAAGCTACAATGTCATTGGATTCTTGTGGAGTCAACAGGCATCATGGACTTCGCATTTCCAAGCGAGTCTTGACAATTAAGATAGCAGGCAGCTCAGGATCGCAGGGTTCGAAATCAGGGCCCACGAGCCTCAAATGATGCGACTCGTAGGCTCAAGTCCTTCGTTCAAAGACGAGTGCCCCCTTCCGGTTGAGGAATGCCAGTACCTCCTTTGCAAAGCTTCCTGTTGTTCAGCCATGTCTGGATTGTCTGGCTGTGCCAATCTGACTCAAGATTGGCCAGGCAGTCAACGACGACAGGTGGGCACTTCGTGTGTCTGCTTAAACGCATCAGATTAACATGGTATCCTAGCTTCATGCTCCCGGATTGGACTACATCTCACACTGAGTATCTCCCTCCAAACGGCTTAGGTTAAGGGCGGCAACTGGTAAACAGATATTCCATTCCGCTGACGAACTGCAGGGAAGCTACGGATTACAGAACGGATTTCCTGCTTTGCCGCAATCCCAACCGGTGAACCAACGAGAGTTAAGAGAAGGATGGTCAGAGCTGTGCACGTAAGCAAGGTCGGATACAAGCAAGCTCGGATACCAGACAGTACCAGGCATCAGCTTTGCCGTCGTCAATGCTTGCTAATCGGTGGTACCTCTGCTTCAAACGATGAGTTTGTTGGACGGGAACACCCTTGTCACTTCTCCTTCTGAGGCAATAGTATCACACTTGGGAGGTACTCTGTGATGGTGTTTATGGTGCCAGTTGGTAGAAGAAGTGGTTGTAGCGCACTTATCCAAAGATGAGCATGTCTTCGGGCGACTGGCGAGAGTCTAGTATGCGTCTGTGCGTAGTTCTAGTCGGCTCTCGAGCGGATCTTTACTGCATTTTACAGCTGGCCCAAGCCTCCAACAGCTCCTCTCTTGCAACGCCGTCTTCCAGCCAGCTGCTCCTTTGCTTCAGATGCGTAAGTTGAAGGTCGAACCGGTTCGCGAGTCGATTGCTCGATCTAGTTGGTCACTGAAAGCTAGGCTGGAGGATGTTGAAACAACCGGCAAATCAGGTCATGGCTGCTACCAGGCCAGTCCTCTCAGGCAACAAGCCCCTGCAAGAGGCAGATCCGGTCATGCCTCTTGGCCTCATGCCAGTCCGGGTGTGTTCTGCCGATTCTCGATCGTGTCTCGAAAGAAGCTGGCGTCGATTTGCCTGATAAACGTGTACATGTCCGGACCGGATGCACTGCAAGCAGGGACGTCATGGGTCATAAGTGGTTCGAGCATGCATGCTCCTCCGTCGCCTTAAAGCATGATCATGGCAAGCTGAAGCCATCAACCAGAACGGCGGGGATTGAGGATAAGCTCTGATGATATGGACCAGCCGGAACAGTTTGAGGTACGACCTTGTCCAGCAGGAGAAAGCCAGGCAAACACGCAACTCGTCCAGCAGGGCGGCAGTACCTGTGGTCGTCGTTGTCGTTGTCTGGTTTTGCTACAGGTTTGATATTCGTCAGCCGGAATAGCAATCAGACCTGTCGCTGGCTTCACAACTTCTACCCGATAGAAGAATAAAGAGGCAAACGACTTCCGAGGATGCATCGAGCTCATCGCATCGGAGAACTTCACTTCCCGAGCCGTCATGGAGTGCCTGGGCTCGGCCCTCACGAACAAGCCTGGTCCCCAGCAGAGCCACAAGTCTGCGCTTTCCCCTTGTCATTGCACTACCCTTACCCTGCTGTTATGTTGCCGTGAGGTATTCCGAGGGCCAGCCTGGAAACCGTTATTACGGTGGCAATGAGGCTCGACTTTGCCGGCGTGCTACGATCGAAAGCACATCATTGGCACTTCAAAAATGAAGCTTCCAATGCAGCCATAGGCTTCTCGTCGTAGACCTGCGGCCAATGTATGAAAGTGATCCACTGCGTGATGCCATCGCTCACGTCTTTGCTACTGAGAGGGTGTTGGTGGGGTAGTGACATGGTACTGCTGCTGCCTTTGCTGGCCGGCCGTCCGTCCCAGTGGTGACGGAGGGTGATTGTGTGGTCAAGCGAGTCTCCCAGCATGCTGGGAGGTGATCGACAAGGTGGAGAACCTTTGCAAGGATCGCGCCTTGAAGGCATTCGGCTTGGACGAGAAAGCATGGGGCGCGTCCTGTCTGCACCGGAAGGGGACATTACGTGGCAGAAAGGAGTCCGCTCCGTCGGCGTTCCGGGCAATGAAATTTCAGCTGAGGTCAACGTCCAGCCATACTCTGGCAGCCCGGCGAACTTCGCCGTGTACACAGCCCTGCTGCCGCCACATGCCAGGCCGCTTGGCATCCTTCCGGGGCCAGGGCTAGCGATCCTGCACGCACGAGTGTTGCCTTGCGTGGCAGGTGTTCGCCGCAGTTCGATATTTATCTTGCTTACATCGAAGCCGAGCTGTTGCTTCCAATTCTCCTTGTCTTGACAGGGTCATGGGCCTGGACCTGCCATCCGGGGGGCACTTGACCCACGGCTACTACACGGCCAAGCAGCTCGGCGCACCCAAGCGTTGCGTTGCCGTGCGAGGGCAAAGCTTCTAGCGGCACCCACTGCCCAGGAAGAAGATCTCCGCCACCTCCATCTACTTCGAGTCCCTGCCCTACCGGGTGCACCCCGAGCCTTGGATGTGATGATGCTCCTGAAGCTCCTCAAGAATTAGCCATGGCATGGTGCAAGGAGACGGGGTTGATTGACTTCGATGAGCTGCGAAAGACGGCGCTGGTATTCCGCCCGGCGATGTGTCCTGGATCCAGCTTGGCTTTCCTGATATCTAGCACCGAATTTGGAGACGTAGAAATCCTCTTGTTGACAAGAAGAAAATCCGGCCTCCGACAGCCCTCCACACCCAGTCACGGCTCCGACAGCCCTCCACACCCAGTCACGGTAGGTCTTGTTATGCCGGCGCAGCCAATTGAACTATTGTTCATCCCGCCAGGGTTGCATGCCCGATATAAATTTGGGTGTCCATATTATCGCCCTCGTAGTTGAAGCTCGATTGCCCATGTTTGGCAGACAACTCGTGAACGGTTGAGCTTTCCAGGATCTTGTGCGGTGCCTCTGCCTACCCTCGTATCATCGACTTCGGTAAGTTCAAAGAGATCGCCGACGAGGCCTGGGGACTGGGCCCGTTTCGAAAGGCTCAGCTTGTAAGAAGCTGTCACTGGCATGGCCCGACCCAGCACTCCACTTGACAAAGTGAAGACTGCAGTATCCAATATCCATCTGTCGGCCATGACATCGACTGAGCATTCATGGAGCCAGTTGGAAATCCGCACTTCCACGCCAGGGTAAAATGCACAAGTACTCGTACCACACAGAGCCCGCTTTTCATGCCGATCGTGTTGCCAGGTGGGTGCGATTCTGATGGCCGACATTGCTCACATCTCGGGCCTCGTTGCGACAGGAGTGTCGTGGCATGTGCGGGCTACGCTACACATTCTTGTTACATTGACATGTATGAGTCTGTATGAGATACTGGTTTTGCCGATGCCTTCTGGCCAGGAGAACATCCGTCTCCTTTCGAGCACTGCGACATCGTGACCACCACCACCCACAAGCCCTTCGGCCTAGATTGGTCAGGAGCGGACGCTGTATGATGCTGCAAGATTGCATCGGCACAAGCAGCAGCTGCCGCAGCTGCTCAGAGGTCTTTGCGCGGGCCACGAGCTGGCATGATCTTCTTCAAGTACACGGACAAGATCCCGGACATCAAGGAGCCCAGCACTTCTGCCACCTAACCTTAGGGTTTGCCTGTAGCGGTCTGAAATTTTAGTTCGTCTCAAACAAGTATCTGCTCCGATCGTTTTGTAGATGCTTGCAGCTTTGCTAGCACAGCAGGCATACCGCTTCAATGGCAACTTCCCGATTTTCTGACCGACGAGCTCTCAACCGAAGGGCAGCCTCCTTGAGCCGTAGTGCAAGCTGGCGAGGAGCGCATCGACATGGCAGTGTTCCCAGCTTTGCAGGGCGGGCCTCACAACCATCAGTGCCTCGCCTGCAGAAACCCAAGGGTTGCTTACAAAGGCCAAAGCAGGTGGCTCCATGTGGCTCCGACAGGATTGCTAGTCGAGACTCAAGAACCCACTAGATCCACACTCGAAGCCTCCGAATTTGGGGTGGGGATGCTTCCCCCTTGGTTGTAGCCCACAGGATCGGTGCCCTGGCTGCTCAGCTGCTAGAGGCGGGGACGGGCCCTGAACTGTGGCAGTTTATGTCGACACCTGGTAGGAGAGCGAGGCAAACAATCAAGAGCGAATGACAGCCAATGATGAACTTCAGTTTGAAAGGGAAATCGCTGAACAGGAAGACGATGTAACTAGCACTTTGGTTCAGATTTTCATTGGTGTCGGCGGGGGTGATTAGAGGATGCTGCACTGCTGCATCTTCAAGCACCTGTTGCTGTTAACAGTGCTCTGGGCTTGTGTGGTTTGGACGGATATCGCCAAATGCTTTGTTTCTCTGGTCGGCTTGTTGCAGCGTAGGCGATCCTCCAAGGCTGCCAGCATGTTCTCTAGTTATGCTGACTGTTATGCTGTCAGCGTCTGAGGGCTTTTCCGCTCGAGATGTCAAAGAGGACCCTCCGGTCTGGCTGGCTTCTACAACAGCCGGCTATATCGTACGATTGCCCTACGCAGGTTGACAGCCCCATGTTCAAGGAGTATGCCAAGCAGGTCAAAGCCAACGCCAAGGCCTTGGCCGACACCCTGATGAGCAAGGGGCTTCGTGCCAGCAAAGACTTAATTAAGGTCAGGTGAAGTTGCGTTGGACTATGCTCACGGACCCTGTGCAAAGTTTCGGAACGCATGCACAGTGTTCCAATATGGCAGCCCAGGCACAAGCTTGCTAGCGACGGCACAGACAATCACTTGCTGCTCTGGGACCTGCGACTTGGCATCGACGAGGAGACTTATGGAATGTTCTTCAATCTCTGATGAAGCCACGGCTCATCCAATCTCAGCGTGAGTGATTGAACACCACGGCAGTTGCTGCATTTGTGTCCGAAGTTTTGCACACGTCCGCGAGTCGGTTTCTGGAGAACTTGCTCAGGCGACCCCACGGCCTCACGGGCTCCAAGGTAGATCGGACCGGACCGCACTGGAAATGCAAGACAGAACGGAAGAATCTGTTGTAGGGGGAGTGGTTCAGTCGACTTGCACCTGGCGTTGAACAATGCAAAATGCATGCGGGATGTGAAGCAGGTGGAGAAGATTTGTGAGGCAGCGTCCATCACCCTGTTTCTCGGCCGCGTCGTGGCGGGGAGGGAGGTGCATCTGCCATTACTCCAATGACCGTGCCGTTGTTTGCTGGAAGTCCCTTCTATTTCAGAGACATGCTCCCTGAGCTCAGGAACCGAAACGCTGTACACGGCGACGCTTCGGCTCTCTCACCGGGAGGCTGCAACGATTCTGATGGCAACTGGCCTATAGCACCTAACAGAGCTCATAAACTGACTCGACCCTCTGAACATGCTCTATCATGCTCGCCTCGCTCTGTTCAAAGGATGGCAGGCCAAGACAGCATGCAGCGCGTCGCTGCTCTCACTGCCATCGTTACATGTGCTGGTGTGCGCAGGAGTTCGTGTGGGAGCTCCTGCTATGACCACTCGCGGCTGCACTGAGCAGGACTTCAAGACCATCGGCGGCCCAGCATAACTCGGTCATGCCAGCTCGTCCTGCAGCGGACAGTGTCAGGTCTTAGTCGTAAGTACTGTAGTCTAAGTATAGTCGCATGCAACACTTTACCTAGCTTTCTCAGCATCGCTTTGCAGCGCCGACATCTGGGTCTCTATGGGGGCACTGCGCATCAGAACGCCCTGCTTGCGATTGGGCAACCGGTGTGAACCGACACTACACTCCGGCTGCAATGCGAAACATGTTCGTGTGCAACCCCCGCGAGGGCTTGGCGCAGTCAGGTACTTTCCTGGACCGATGCTGTCAGCTGGCGCTGAAGATCCAAGCCGAGAAGGGCAAGAAGTTGAAAGACTTCGAGGCCGCTTCATCACGGAAGCCTTCTGAACCCCCAAAGGGCCCGGAAGGTCAGGCGTGCCCGCCCTCTCCTTAATCCAGGCAGCCATTCCGAGCAACCCGGATGTTGCCGCGCTGAAGAAGGAGGCGGGGCAAGGCTTCGACAGTTTCCAAACTCCTCAGAGTCGCCCATGCGAGTCGTCGTAGCTGCTCGTAGAGCTGCTAGCTGCTAGGTGGAGGAGTGGGCCAGCAAGTTCGGCTACCCGGGTCTCTAGGCCCAAGGCCTCAGGCAATCCAAGCCCGCTCCACACCGGGGCTTGGCCGGCATGTGGCCGCCAGGCGAATCGAGGAATTTTCGGCTCCGGGTGTTGTGGAACACAATCTGCTTTTTTGTGATTTTGGGCGCAGTGTGGCGCTTGCCAATCCGAGTGGCCCAAGATTCTCTGATGATTCTAGTACTAGGTCCTGAAGTCCCTGGCGAAAAGAGCACTTTTTGAGCACTCAGAAGCAGCATCTTGGGCTTCTCGAGGGAGTTTTGTCTTGCTCCCCCTGCATAGATCGGAATCTGAGTGGCTCAGTACTCGGACCCCGTCACTTCGGACCTTTGGCAGCGTGTGCGGAGCTCGGCGATCCTGCCAAAGTGGTTTGGGGGTTTCCAAAAATAGGATACCCTAATATAGTAAGGACCCCAAAATAAGGCACCCTAATTTTCGGAAAGTCCCATTTCCAATCTTGACTCGTGCGGCGGCGAAAAGTCGGAGTGGTTGTTCAAGACTGTAGGCTGGAAGCACCGGTTCAAATCTCGATACTCAACTTGGGCGTTGGTCAGTTGTAGGGCTGGAGTTCTGAAGAGTTCCTGCCAAGGATCCATTTCACTGAGCTCGTCCTTGGCCTGCTTGATTCGGTGCTAAAACATCCAGCAAAGCCGTTACGTACGACCGTTCTAGCGGTGCGGAACCCCCAAGCAACATGAACAGAACCCATAGAGCCGCCAAAAAGTCCCAACCGAGTTCCGCAGCAGATCCACCAACATACCATTCCGAAGTCCGTGAAGGCTTGCGCTGTCGCTGCTCCTCACCACGAGTGCCACGGCCTCAAAGCACCCTCATCAGCAGCAACAACAGCACGACTATCAATACTCGCACTACTAATACTACTACTCCTCCTCCTCTTCCTCCTCGTCCTGCTGCTGCTGCTGTGCAACTGCAACTACCTAGCACCACGACCACGACTACTGCTGCTGCTACTGCTACTGCTCCTCCTCCTACTACTACGTGGTTGTCGTCGTCCTAGTCGAAGCTCTCGTCGTGGTGGTGGTAATCGTCGCAGCAGTTCTAGCCATAGTGGGAGCAGTTAGTTTTGCTGTCTTTTCGACAGGCACCAGAAACCGTACTCGAGCAGAACGCAGCTACTCCAAGAGTCCTTGAGTCTAGAAACTTGCACCTTGTTTGGGCCGCCATCAATGACAAATCCGTCGACCCTATCCCCTGCCGGGTTTTATCAGCAAAGTAGACGCCTCAGGCAGTGTGCCGTGTCCTGGAGACTTAGCTACGCCAAGGTCTTGCACCATGGCTGCATGGTGATGCCTCAATAAGCTCTTAAACCTGATTCCCCCGCGACATCGTGGAATTGGAGTGTTGTTGGAGGCTGCTTTCAATACTAGGCGGCAGGACTCTGTGATTGTCAATGTGCCTGTACCCCAAGCTCACAACTGCAGTGCGGAACAGCAGTGGTACGACCTCCGAGGCCGGAGGAAGATGACCAGTGCTCGCTTGAAGAACACAAAATGCGTGTTGCTTGCACTGCCAAGACAAGCTGCTTTGGGCGGCTATTTTTCCGGGACTTCCTTTGCCTTTCCAAGCAGCTGCGAGCATGGTTGCAACATGCTGGGGACAGCAAGACAATTCCTGTCCAGTGTCTTGCAGGCGGATTGTGAGTGGTGTCTTCTGTGGCTCACTGCTTGCTAACCTCAGTCGAGCCGTCTGACCAGCTTCTGGGAGTTGGGAGAGCAGTGACCGTAGCAGTGCCAAGAAAGGTTACCATCACTAGTGATTGTTTGCAGAACAAACGTGACTAACAGCCCCGACACTTGCCTTCAGAAGCAGAAATAGCAGCAGCAGCGTGGTGGCTGTCATAGTCATAGTCGCAGCAGCAACAGCTGCACTGGGCAACACAACTCCTTTCAGCATACCCCTTCCTAAGCAGAGCAGGATCCCTTAAGACGATAGCGCATGCTTGCGCTCCTTATGTGCGTCATCAAGGTTCTCTTTATAATACCCGGATGGTATTTCTATTGTGCTTACTAAGTTATTACTAAGTTGTATCGGTACTGACCAATCCAGAACTTGGATCTGCCATAACACGAAAAGGGTAAATCAGTATGTTCTAGGCATTGCTAGGGCGGAAGAAATGGGGCGCTCTCCCAGCCATGGCCATGTGGTGGGCCTCCGACCCACAGCTGTAAACTCAGAGACTCCAATGTTGTTATTCCGTCCTGTCACAAGAGAATCCCTCAAGGAGGAAGAGCTGAACATGGAGCTACGGCAGCAATCGTGCTCTGGGGTGTATCCAGGTGGCAGCAGTTTGCGCTGCAGCAGTGCGCTATGGGCTGCTTCGATGCACTTTGAACCTATAGCACTCCTGACCTCGGTGGCTCAAGCGAGTGGTGGATAAGATCTGGGACCTCCTGTTCAGTCTTCGCCTGCTTTGGTGAATAACCATCGTTTCTTGGGCGTGCGATGGAAGCTGAGCATGTGTTGCGTTTCTGGCTGCTGAAATCATGGTCACAAAGAATGCTGGAGTCTTTCTGGACGGGCGCATGGGCTTTGCTTTTGATTCATATTATACAAAGGTCTGGCGATGCAGCCAACAACGCCAGCAGGCCTGGATGAGCGTGCAGTATCCTTGTGTTTTACACCCCGAGTTAAGAGACACGCCATTTCAGCTGCAAACGCTTCGCAAGGACTGCGTCGATCCTCCATGGCGTCCGAGTTTAAAGCCACCCCTCTCCACCCTCACGTCACCCCGTTTCGCCGGATCTGCAGCTCTTGACACTGAAATTGCTGGGAGGTAGCCCGGCCGTCTTCAACCAGGGCATCCAGAGCTCGGGCCCCTCGAAGCCCAAGGCTACCACGCACTGCCATGACTTCTAATTGTAATGTAGTCAAAGACAGAGAGCATCATGAAAGTGTGTGGGCTTTGCACGAACCTTTGCAGCAGGTGATCGAAAGCCCGGTCGCGCAAGAGGCCGAGAATCTTGAGCTGCTTTGCTGGACCCGACTCGAGCAGAGACTCTAGTGGCTCCTTCAGCTCACTCTGGGATCAAGACAATGTGCCCCATTGTCAGTTGTCGGCTGCAGAACCGTAGCAAAGACCGCTCACCTTTTCCGCGTTGGGACGTGGAGACTTCGCCCCCTGCAGAGTGCCGTACAACGACGACGGTCACAACCATAAATACGACTTCCATCATTCCAGCCACCGCTGCCACATCTGCATGGTCAACGAAAGCCAGCAAAGCCAGAAAGAATGACGTCATCATCGCCAAGGAGTATAGTCACCAAAACGAGGACAACGGTGCAATGGCCACAGCTTCTCTTGCGCTGATGCCAGCTATAAAGAGAATCGCGGGGATGTTGTTGATGATGACGCCGGCCTCTGTTGCGTCGCATCGGTCGTTATCGGTGTTGTTTCGAGTTCCGACTTGTGCAGGTGCCGCTCCAAGGCCGGCCGCAGGCAAAAGCAGCTCCAAAGGCCGAGTTGCTGAAATCATTCGTACTGGTAGCATGCGCGGGCGAGTGCAGTTTTCAGCATAATCTACTCTCGGGCACAAGGTGTTCGTTCCGAGTCTCTGAGATCATGTCCCTTACACTTCACTCTGTCAAAGCCGTGGCCCGTGACAAGGGAATTCTGATTTGGGTTCTCTAGTGCTCCACTGGTCAGCCATTCAGTTTATACTTTATTACATGTGATACACGGCATATATGGCTTGTCTCACGGTTTGAGCCTGGCAGCATGACCTGCACTTGTGCTACTCTTCGCCCACGGTGGCTTCGAATACATGAGAGCTCCAGACACTTGTTACAGCAACTTGGTGAGAAGAGTGTTGCTGAAACTTCCCCTGCAGAACGCGAAGAACGGGCTGCTGGTTCGGCTGTGCAGCCGTGTGTGCCTTCCCCGCACATTTCACATGCTGCAAGGGCTTTGGTAGTGCCCGACATGAAGTGTAGCTCCCGTTGTCCTTAATGATACCGTTGCGGCTTGCTGTCTTATTCAGTTTGTGCATGTAGACGGCATCTACAAGCACAAGCCTTTGCTTTGATTCCACAGTTGTTGCTGGCGTTGCCGCGGCTGCCTGTGGGAATGCGTTGGTCCCATGAGTTGCGCCGAGGCAGCAGTTCGACGACGAGCTCAGCGCTGCCGAGGGAGGCCTTGCTTTGCATATTGGAAGGCTGAGCCATTATCAGTTCAGCCGTGCGCTTGTCCATCCCCTTGTTTTATGTGTTTCTTCCCACTGCTTGCCAACTCGACTCTGAACTTTAGGATGCAATCGCTGAGCTCAAGAGGGTTGAAGCGAAAGTCAACTGGGTCTGTGAGTATGTAAACTTGTAAAGGAGGGCAATTGGCTTCAGGGTCTTTCTTGCACAGGACCAGCGAGCCTTCGAGACTTCATCCTTCGAGGGAGAGCACACGAGGCGCTTGGGCTTAGTTTCACCGGTGCAGCGCAAGCGAGTTGAAGTTGGGCTCTGTCGCAACGGACGGTGCACTTGCTGGATCCGAAACTGCAGTTAGACTCAATCAAGCTATTATTCCTTCTGCTTCGACTCTGGCCAAGCCCCCTCTGTCTCTCGTAACTGCCTGTTTGAAGAGTTCTGAGGGCAGTTAAAACGCCCATCGGCAGAACCGACGTGACCCTTTGCGCAGGCTCCTGCAGCTGCTGAGCGCAAGCGCTCGCTGGTGCAGGCGAAGACCTTTAAGACCAGCGGTCTGTCACTGTCACTGTGATGTCTGGCATCAGGTCAGCGACAGTGAGGAGAGCCGGGAAAGTCAGAGACCCAGACTCGGCCGCGTTACAGTAGCCAACAGTGTCTAGAAGAGCTTTCGATTCTTGTTCACACCTGCCTGCAGGCCAAGGCCGTCAAAGACACGATGCCAGGCGCGAGAAAAACAAATCAAGTCTTCAGACGTGTGATAACTATGTCACGTGGCAACACGGAGGTTCATGTCAGCAGACATGGCTCGACAGTTTGTTTTGCTTTCCCATGTCCAACACATTGAT